CCATAAAGGAAGTGGAGACGGTGTGGGAAAATTAGACAGTTTCCCTCACATATAGACCTCTGCTTCCGAAGGGTCCAAAAGTAAGTTAATAATCTGCCTCTTTTGGAGTTTGAAGGGTAGTGTAGCAAGATCCTGAAATATTTATTGAAATTTCATATGTTTTTAAAGCTGTGTATGAGAGAAACTTCAATTTCTTATTCCTCTTCACTTTGGAACCAGGACATCCTGTATGCCTATCTAGGCCAAGTTGCTAAAACGTTCCTAGAATGTGTTCAATTTCTTTCATATGGGATCTAACCTAGCATTCTACAGGTTTTTTTTTTTGTTTTTTTTTTTAAAAAAGGATCAAAGGTATAAACCCTTAGGAAAAATGATAAATTTATATTGCATATATTAAAAGACTGGTAGAAGATTTGTTTCAACAGCAGGTGGTTGTGAAGGAAGGGAAGTAGAACTCATTAAGAGAAGGTGGAAGACAAACACCTAAGCACTTTAAATTCAGCCTTGGGCTAGTCTAGCCCTGGAAAAGTCCCCTCTGCAACATTCTAAACACAGTGAGCAATCAAATAACTCTCACCTGAATGACTGGCTGGATGATAGTATAGCTTGTGGTCTGTCTGGTTTACCATGGACCCGCCCAGGTAAAGGCCAGGTATTTGCAATACAGAGTATTGGCCAACCCATTTAATATTGATATTGTACCTGTTAGCACACCAGAGAAGAAAGAACCTGCTCAGCCTTCTGTTCCTGGGTCATCCCCCAATCTCAATGCTTCGTCTTTAAAATAAGAATCACTAACCACACATTAGGATTTTATAAGAGCAGGTAGACAACAAGCATTTATTCAACATGTATGTATATAGTTCAGACTCACTTTAAGAGTTGTACATTTCTAGCACTTCTCCTGCTCCTCTCTCATTCTGTTTGTTTTTGTTTGTTTGTTTGTTTTTGTTTTTTTGTTTTAATTTAATTTATTCCCAGATATTCAGGAGCTCTCCACTTCCTTTTCACTATTTACCTTGTTTCCACTGTTCATATAGATAATTGCCCTAAAGATGCTCAACTTACTCTTTGGACCATGTGTTCTAACCAGTAGAAGTTTACTCAGTAGTCAATGGGGAATATTTAAAGTCAAGACTCTCCCTGATAACCCAAAAGATATGGTTGTTGAACCTCAAAGAAGACAAGGAGGATGGTCTGTGTCTCAATCCTCCAGGGCCTTAATTGGAATGTGGTCCAGCCTATCTCCCTGATCTTTTCTCCTACCTCTCTCTTCCTCCCATGAGTTGCCCAAGCCACCTTGACCTGCTTTTGGTCCCTTGAACCAGACAAGCTTGGTTCTGTCTCAGGCACTTTGCCCTGGTTCTTCCTTCTCCCTGGAACCTCTTCCCTAGTTCTTTGCAAGACTCTGTCTTCTTATCATCCATGTCTTAGCCTCAAAATCACCTTCTCACAGGAGCTTTTCTTAACAGCCTTTGTCCCCAAGGTATCCCTTGCCCCTATTCATTCTTGGTCTTAATCTTTTTTAATTTCTTCCTAGCATTTACTTTTCCAAGGAAGTATCTTATGTTTGCAGTCTCTCTCTGTCTCCAACTTACTACCCACTACAGTGTAAGTCTCAGAGGGCACATCTTTGCCACTTTGTTGGCTCCCAGTACTGTAGTACCTAGAATAATGCCTGGAACATGGTAGTAGAAGCACAATGACACTTTGTGGAATGAATGGATGGACACTGCTCTTTCCCACACACACTGGAGGCTGGAGGCAGGGGCATGTATCCCCGGCTCTGTGAAGCTGAGGATTGTGTGACTTGTTCTTGCAAGTCCAAACCCACCCAAACATCTGTAGAATGGGAAAGGGGCACCTCTCATGGGAAAGGGACATACACTGAAGGATCCAAGTTAGGACAGAAGAAGGCAATAGAACAAGAGGCATAGCTAAGAAAAGGAAATCTGGTTAAAAACGGGATGGAGGAGGGCTTCAGGTGTATAGAATATTGAAGTTGAACAGGTAGCCATGGTAATGCAGTTGTGACATTACCACAAACTCCCTAAGTGGCCTTGAGTCTGCCATTGCTCTAGTCTGAGCAACACTTACAAAAAAAAGAGGAAGCTGGAAATCTCTTTGGTCCTTTCTAGTGACAATTCATTATGAAGGGAGGCTTGGGAGAGTATACTCAGTTCTACGGTGAGTATTTAGGGACTTCAGCATGGTAGAACTAAGAAATGGGGTCAATAAGATTTACCTTTAAGAATCAACATCACTAATCAGAGGCCAGATATGCTGAGCTATCTGAGGAATAAGCTGGGGCTTCTAGGCCAGCAAAACCCCAGCAATCGCCAGTTTCAACATATTAACATGTTTGAGGAGGGGAAAAAGGTGTCAATTTTAGGGGAGTGCAAGGTATTCTCTAACCTTGGAAAGGAGAGGCCAGGACTGGCTGGACCCTCTTACATGTGATTTAGGAGAAGGACCTTCACCCTCAGAGCTTCCCTCCCCAGAGAAAGGCTGACCTCAATGCCAGATGGGCACTGTAGCTAACAGGCTCTGAGTATTTTCACAAGAGTGGAAGGCAGTGGTTGAATTCAGACCATTTGTTGCTGGCTTCAAAACTTGACTACCACTTGCTAGCTACATGGCTAGTATTTCAGGAGGCAAGTTCTTAAATAAGTATCCCCAGTTTCTTATTATTTAATGGGGTGATGATAATGGCAAGTATTTCCCAACATTTCTGGAAGGATTATGTTACAGTGTATAAAGCACTTAGAGCAGGGGTCTGTTTTTATAATTTCATTGGCAAAGCCATCCTCTGGCTATCACACACATCTCCCGTTTAATATCAACTATCTGTCTTCTCTCCTTCCGATCCTTCAACAAGCAACCTACTCCTTCCCATGTGGGTTTGCTCACACAGAAAAAAAAAAGTGCTTATCACAGAGATTCTGAGAAATTCCCATTGCAGAGACTGCAATATCTTATGGCAGACTGATACATTATCTCTAGTTATGCCTAGCACTTTCAATTTGCTGGACCACAGAGGCAAGAGGTACAGGATGTGATGCAAATGGAGGGTTTGGGTCCAGAGGCAGATCAGTTTTGATTTCTCAGCCATCCCACTGGCATTCTGGTACCCATCCCCAACTTAGTCTGTTGGGGTTAGAATGCAGACACTCTGATCTCCTTGGAGAGGGATGCGTGTAATGCCTCAGTCCCCAAGGCAGAGGACAGTCCTAGCTGGTTTTCCCACCCAGCTGTGGTGTCACCTGTATCCGCTCCCTGTCTGATTCTGTGCACAGAAGCTGTAGTCACCCTGCCTTGGGAACCTTCATAAAGGAGAATAAAAAAACTTTGGGAAAACTATAGAAAAGAAGAAGCATTCGCCCGTGTCCCACTGATCTGTCTGCAGTGACTTTCCCTGCTCTCCTCATCCTTCCTCCTCCACCCCCCCCAAAAAAAATCCAAATGTTTTCATTTCCTTTGGGGACCCTTCCTGGAACCACCCTTTAGGGGTTTGTCTGAATTTTTAAGCATTCTCCACTAAAAGTGAGGCATTCTAGAAGGGAGAGAGAACTTTCAATGATGATACACATCAGTGGAAATGTGTTCAATATTTCTTTCCTCCTGACACCTTGCTGGATTGGGTTTACCTTTAGGAATTTGCAGCTTTTTGAGTTTTGTTTATGGAGGGAGGGGAGAGAAAGGTGAGAAGGGAGAACTGTGACATACTTGGAGGCCCAGGAGATCTGCTAAGTGTGGGGATAGAACTGAGAGGCGGAAGGCCCAGGAGGACTCTGGGACGTTGAGCTATGACATGGGTTATGTTGGCATTTCTGAATTGACCTGGGAAGGTAACCAGCAATTATAATATTGTTCCCTTGGAAAATGCAGCTTGTGCTCTAAATAAGCAACTTGGAAAAGAGCTTTTGAGATACATCCCACTGCAACTGAGTTCTCCTAGCATAAATCTCAGGAAGAAAGTCCAGGAAGCACGAGGTGTGATATTAGGGGGTGGGGGTGAAGGGCAGGGGAGAGGCAGAGCATATAATGTGATAGAGCTGGAAGAATATTTGACTCTGGGTCTGGGGCAGGCAGTGACCTGCCCAACAACCCGGCCAGCAGATACCTCTCCAGAGAGGGGGCAGGAGGAGGATATCCTGCACTTAAGGAGAGGAAGTTTTAGGAAACTGGGTTTTGCTGACATTTCATTCTGGGTTCTTGGGAGAGACAGCCTTCCCTCTCAGAGGTCTCTGGGCCTCCGCCCAGTCCACCTGAGAATCCTTGAGAAGGAGTGACAGGTGAGAACTCAGGTGAGAAGCCAAGCCTGGGTTTGAGGGTTGGGGCTGAGGGACAATTCCAGGGAGGGTGTGCGAGGGAAGGGGACACGCTCAGGCGCATCCAGTAAGGGGACCCCAGGGCAAGAAACGCAGATCCAGCCAAAGTGCGGATGGGAGCCCGCGGGGGAGGGAGAGTCTGGAGGAGAGGGCTTCCCGGGGTGGAGAGAAGGAGCTAGGTAAGCTGTCCCTGCGGAGACGTGAGATGCACTCCGAGGAGGGAGGCGGGGAAGGGTCCGAGGCCACGGGCTCCCCTGATCGCCAGGGCTGCGGCGCCTGGAACAGGTGAGCGGCGGACCCGCCCTCGCCCTGCCCGCCAGCCTGCCTCCTACCGGCTGTGCGCGGCGGCGCTTCTCTCCGCCCGGCTCCCCCGGCTTTGGCTTTGGGGTTTTGCAACTGGCAGCTGGCGTTTTCCCTCCCCTCCCCTCGCTCAGTCTCTCCTGCTTTTAGGTGGCTCCACCCCGCCCCGGATCCGGCGAGGGGGAACCGGCGGGGCTGCGGCTGCCAACTCGCGCCCAGCGCGCCCAGAGAGGAGTCCCGCGCTGCCGCCTGCTCCCCGCCCGGCGCCTTCTCCCCGCGCCCCCGGGCCCCGCGGCCTCCACGCGCGAACCTTCCCCACTTTCCCCCGGGTTTGCAATCATCACATGGCATGTTAAGAATGCCGGAAAGATGGCGGTAGCGGCGGCGGCGGCGGCGGCGGCGGGGCCGGCGAGCGGGGGCGGCGGCCGGGCGCAGCGCCGGAGCGGGCTGCTGGAAGTTTTGGTGCGGGACCGCTGGCACAAAGTTCTGGTGAACTTGAGCGAGGACGCCCTGGTTCTGAGCTGCGAGGAGGGCGCCGCGTACAACGGCATCGGGGCCGTGGCCACCAATGGCTCGTTCTGCAGGGGCCCCGCGCACCCGGGCACCCCCGGAGGAGGCGCGCAGCCCCCAGACTCGCCGGCCGCCGCCGGGGTGCGCACCGCCTTCACCGACCTGCCCGAGCAGGTGCCCGAGTCCATCTCCAACCAGAAGCGCGGCGTGAAGGTGCTGAAGCAGGAGCTGGGCGGGCTGGGCATCAGCATCAAGGGGGGCAAGGAGAACAAGATGCCCATCCTCATCAGCAAGATCTTCAAGGGGCTGGCGGCCGACCAGACCCAGGCCCTGTACGTGGGCGACGCCATCCTGTCGGTGAACGGTGCCGACCTGCGGGACGCCACCCACGACGAGGCGGTGCAGGCGCTCAAGCGCGCGGGCAAGGAGGTGCTGCTGGAAGGTAAGGGGTTAACGCGGCGCGCCACCCACTCACCCTCCCGGGCACCCACTCCCTTTCCCCGGCACCCACTCACCCTCCCGGGGCGCCCGCACAGGCACCCACAGGCTGTCACACCCCGGGGGGCCGCGGTGCTGCAGGTGACCTGGAGTTTTAACAACTTTTACCCACCTGGGGGCAACGGGTTCCTTTCCTAGCACTGTCCCAGGCTTTGACCCAGCAGGGGGGTGTGACGTGTCAGTGTTTCTTGAACTCCTACAACGCGCCAAGCACCGGATCCCGTGCTCAGGGCATGCCGCCTCATTGGAATGAGGGTAATCCACGTGGAGAGTATAGGGACTGGGAAGTGAGCTGGCAAGGAAGGGTAGGCAGGGAGAGTCACCGTCCACTCTAGGAAGCTGGCTCACTGAGTAATCACAGCTCCGATCGTTTTCTTCCTTGGCAGTTTCCTCCTCAGAAGGCTGGACAGCCCAGCATAAACGACTGAATCATAAAGGGGCCAGAGAGGGGAGGGTGGCAGCGTTTGAATGCTGAGACTCCCACCACCCTTCTCCAGTGCCCCTGCTTTCTGCGTGGGAACTGGGGTTCTGGCTGGGGAGGTGAGCCAGCGGCCCCCACAGGCTGTCACTATGCTAAAGTTCTATGCTAAAGTTCACCTCTGCTGCCAGGTGTGTGGCAGGTCAGTCTGGAATCCGGGTTGCACGCTGGGTGGAGGGCTGTGAAGTGGGTTTTCTGCCTGCATTTTCCCGGGATTTTTCCAGAGGGTCGTGGAAACAACTTCACATGTGTAAACAGTTCCCCCTGCCCGTGTGGCATCTTAGAAACCATTCCCTTGAGCTGTGATGTGCCCAAACCCCTGTCATTGAATGTGGATAGAATAGCTGGTATGTATTGTACCCATTTGTGGTGGCATGGGGAGGGGGGAGGAGAAGGCAGGAGGGCAGTAGGGTAGTAAGTGGATAATACTCTCCTTTATTGCCACTTCTGCATTTCTCACTGATATCCGTCTCTCTGCAACTTAGCTGGCTTTGCCCATGCCTCTGTCAGCACTCACATTGTGTAATTGTTTTATCTTGTTACCCAGCTTCTCTCTAACTGCAGACTGAGTTGTCCGAGGCCTAAATGAATACATTTAGAATGGACTTAAGTACGCATTCTGACCACCCACGGTGGTGCTGGTGTGCCAAACAGAAAGTTCCCAGTGGGGAAACCAGCTTTGTGACACATGACAGCTGATGCCACTCCCCGCCCACCTCCTGGCCTAGACTACAGAGGGTTTCCCCTCCCTCCTATTTGTCTAGAGGAGTCGTGAGATGTCTTCATATATAATTGCTACCCTGGATCCAGAACGTGGAAGGCTGTTTGCCTTGGCTTGATGATTAACATAAGTAAACAGAAAAAAAGTTTTCTCCAGTGTGTGTTGGTTTGTGTGACGAGGGGCAGGTGGGACCTGGGGCAGGTGTAATTTGGACTCTAAACTCACTGGACACCTGCTCAGCTTGCAATATTTACTGTAAAAACATCAGGGGGACGAAGTCAGGTCATTCCTATTTCACTGCCCTTCCTGGTGCTTCTTGTTTTCTCCTTGCTTTTCATTTGATGGATCATGACTTAGCTAAGAGGAAAAAAAAAAAAAAAAAAAAAAAAAGTCACCCCAAAAGAGGAAGAAAAGGTGGACTCCCTGCAGTTGAAAATAAACTTAAAGAAAAAACAAAGTCAAGCAGTGATGTGACTCCTACTGATGCAGCATCTGAAAAGCAAGTTTTGTAGAAACTTCTGACATGACAATTTCACAACACGTTGTCATGTGCTGCAGGCAGGACCTTTGGGGAAGACCTCTGGGCCTCCTTGCCAAGAGCCATCTGGGCTCAGGGCCATGGTCTTATTTCCAATCTAAGTTTTCAGAAATTGACTCCTATTAAGAGAACAAGCAGAGGCCCCATTGAAAAGAGTGTCTCTTATTCTGAGGCAAAGTGTTGGTCCTAGATGTGGTAGGAGTGATCTCAGTGTTTTCCAAACTTCTCTCATGATGAGAATCACCTGGTGGAGTTGTTAAACTACAGATTCCTGAATGCCAACTAAGAAGTGCTACACTAGAATGTTTGGGAACATATAGGTAAAATTGTAAACTTAGTGCTTTGTTATACATCAAGTCAGCTAGCGCACGTCCTCTCTCTGTAGCTCAGCTTCGTACAGAAATCCCCAGCTGAAGGGGCTTCTCAGAACCACGGGGAGGGCTCGCTCATGTCCTGCAATGCCATCTTGATTCCAGAGTTTCTATCTAGGAAAAACTTTGCAGCTGTAACCTCGAGGGATGAGAGGACTACCGGAGATATTTTTAAAATATATTCATATGGAAAATACACTTTATAATTTAGATTTTTTTAAATTTATTTATTTTTATTTTTGCTTTGTTTTTTGGGGGGAGCTGATGGAAATTAGTGTAGTCCCTCAATGGCTGCCAGCACGCACCCCATTACATGACATGCGCCCCCTAGTGGAGAGTCACTCCTTCTACTAGTGGGACACAGTGAAATGGAATGCTGAACAGCAAGTTTTAAAGCCTGCTAACTAGTCTGACTTTCCACCACAGAATCATCTTAACCTCCCTGAGCCTCAGTGTCTTCTGAAGACTGGGAATAAAGATACCCGGCTGGGCATGCTTACTTTACAGGGCTTCTCTGTGGAAGAAAGAGCACTCTGAGAATAAAAGGAAAACAACAACAGCATGTATCAAATGCCCGCTGTGATTAGTTACCTTTACAATTCAAATAAACTGAATATGCAATAGCCTCTTCTAAGGGATAATCCTTCCTTTTTTATTTACTCGATTTTATGTTCCTTATTTTCATTCTACTTTATTGGTAGAATATGAAATTCTACCAATTTGTCATATGCAGAAGACCACTCTTCTGGGGAAAGAATCATTCCAGTACTAATATTTCTTAAAACACTTACTATGTGTCAGGCTTCACTTGCAATTTCTTCATGTTACCTTCTAGTAACTCCATGAGGCTCGTATTCTTGTTCATTTATTGATGAAGACGCTAACACTGACAGCCAGTAGGTTATTTGCTTGAAGTAACATAGCTGAGAGGATTCCAAGTCTGACATAAAAGCTCATACTTGTGCCAAACCCAGTGGATAGTGTCAGCGTGTGGACTGTGGATTCCTGGGTTCGATTCTGGTCAAGGCTATGTACCTTGATTGTGGGCATATCCCCAGTAGAAGGTGTGCAGGAGGCAGCTGATTGATGTTTCTCTCTCATCAAGGTTTCTAACTCTTTCTCCCTCTTCCTTCCTCTTTGTAAAAAATCAATAAAAAATATATTACATATATGAAAAAGCTCATACTTATAACCTCTAGGTGAACCTGGTGCTCTGAGCTTCTGGATGGAACTGTGAACTTGGGTCAGTGGGAGCCTCATTTGGGTTAGAGTATCTTCCCCACCCCTCAAATATGCTCAAGTGCTTGGAACAGCCCTGAACAGGAAATAGAAATTGTGTGGGCTACTCAGAAAGGAGGGACAGGAAGGAGAATTGAGCCTTAAAACCCTAACTCATCAAGTCTCTCTGAAAATGGAGCTGCTTCTGTGTGTCCCAACTTGGCAATGAGACAGGGCCTCCATCATTGAACTCAGGGCCAGCAAGGAGACTAGACTGTAATTCCAACTTAAAATAGTGAAAACACCGTACCAGCTAAGTCAGTGTTTAACTGATTTTTCAACAACGTTAGTATCAAACATCTTCACACTATGAACTCATTTCCCATGTTAGGGAGTGGGAGCAGGCACACTGCATGTAGCCATGCAGATGTGGAACCCTTTAACGCCCGCGTGGGTACCACACACATGGGCCATCATGTGAATGGCACCCTCTGGGTTCGGCAGGACACGCCTACATCAACAGCCTATGCAGCTCTGCGTAGGGAAGGTAGGAGGTTTATTAGAATATTAATAAAATAGTAATTTGAAACATGTCAACCTGTTTGTAACCGAAGTTACTACAAATTAGTTTCTCCATAACTGTGTCAAGATGAGGCGTACAGAACATTCTGGAAGATTCATATTGGGATGTGGAGGTTGGTTGGGGGTGGACAGAATCATCTTGGGTCCAAAAGGTCTCCCTTGGAACTAACCCAGAAAAAGTGGAAAGTCAAAGAAGGAAGTCAGAGACAATTGTTGACCTTAACCTGTACATCAGAGCTTTCCCCTCGGACTGCTCCCAGGAATGCTTTGCTGTTGAGCTGGTCTAAGGTGACCTTCACAATCACTTTCTCCCCTGGTGGAAGTGGGGATGGGGGGACAGGGAAGTGGTGTGCAAGGAAAGGGCAGTGATTTCGCCGGCATAAAAACCTCAGGATTGGAATGAGAATTTTATCTTTAAAGAATCTTACTTTATATGGGATGTACAGATCCTTTTTTTGTTTGTTTGTTTTTATAAGGATGTACAGATTCTTAAAGAATACCCAAGAACTCTGGAATTAGAGTCTTGAAACTTGGATTATTTATCTTTTAACTAACAGTTACTCTTTTTACAAGGAGCTGTATGTCTTTAGGCCTTGATTTTCTTCATTAGAAAGTAAGGTGGCTGGGGTAGGCCACAGGTAAATCTTATTTCATCTCAAATTTTATCAGTTCACACCCAGAATATATATATGTTTTCCATTTTAGAATTTCACAAATCACATAAGCTAACTCTAACTTAAATTAAAAAAAAAAAACAATGTAATGCCCTATTACTATTATACTGTTAACATGAGCATGATGGATAAGCTATTGTTCAAAATGCTTCGGTAGATAAATGCATGACACAGCTACACCAGAGGTCATAGTGAAGGAGACTGATGCTAGGACTTGTTTGTAAAGTCACCATCAATGCATGGCTACAGATGAAGATGGGTAGGAGTCTGTGCTGTCACTTGGGATCTGGTAAAAGCTTGCACTGTTAAGTGACAGCCCCTGATATTGCAAGATGTCTAGAATTCCTGGCTCCTATCACTAA